TGACCTGCTAGAAGAACTAAAAAATCTGTCCTGGAATAAGTGCTGCTCGAATGCTTCTTGGAAGTAAGAATGGCCAGACTTTGTCTCACCTACTTTGGTCATGTTTTCAGAAGAGACCATTCCCTGGAGAAAGGATATCATGCTTGGTAAAGTGGAGGGTCAATGTAAGAGGAGTAGGCCTTCAACAAGGTGGACGTGATGCAGTGGGTGCAATGATGGGCTCGGATTTTAACAAGGATGGTGAGGCTGACACAGGACTGGGCAGTGTTTCATTCTGTTGTATGTAAGGTCGCTGTGAGTCAGAGATGACTGTACGGGACCTAACAACTACAATTATAACAATATTAATTCTAAACATGATAATTTCAGAATAAAGTTCATTTTAGGACTTTTTATGGCAACATTTGTTACAATTTTAACTCTAATCAGCCTTCCCCAAGTTGAGCTTTTTCTTAGTTGTTCTTATTTGAAGAAGATTTTTAGGAATTGAAAATGTAGTTCTTTTTACATTATAAATGATGACATGATTTAGCAACTCAAGGGCTCCTGAGATCCTTGTCATAGGGCCTAGACTTAAGCCTAGAGGAAGTTTGGGATGGTAGTTAGATGTCAACGCATGGCTTATCTTTTTTACTATTCTAGCTTTATTTGATTGGGGGAAAGGGGTATAGATTTTTCCATCTTTTCTCTGTTCTCTAGAACTAGAACCCCATCTCCCTCCAACAGTGTTTCGAGGTGAGATTTGGAGTGAAACTCTCAAGTAGTAGAGCTGTGTTGCAAAGAGGAGGAGTGAGAAATCAGAGAAGTCTTTAACTAATGTAGATATAAAGGAACTCTTTATATATGTGGAATTTTTATCATTATTATTTTTGTGTGCTTGGATTTTCATTTTTTTTAAATGATGATTTTATTCTGCTTTAAACTTGTTTGCTAATTTGCAGTATTTAACTACTTATAAAGAGATGTAGTACTTTTAGTCCGAAAGGGTTGTTTGATTTTGAAGTTCAGTATATATTTTGTTTGTTCGATTTGCTTTTGTGTCAAGGAATTAATGGTAGTTCAGCTGTTCCCAGAGCTGCTGTAGGTAATTGGTGTGAGAATCAAATGAAGAACTGAACAAAAAAGCAACTTTTCAGGCCTTGCCCCAGGGTAACTGGTTCGTCTTCTCTAAGATGTGTGGTCCTAAGTCTGTATTTTAAGCAGGCCTCATTTAGTTCATGGTGCACACCCCAATGAGAATAGTTGTGGACTTTCTCCTGAAAGGTATACAGAAACATTTTGCATATTATTTTAAAAGACTTAGACTCTCTGAATTCCAACTGTGAAACCCAGGTAGGTAGAATATGTAAGAGAGTTGGCATTGAGGAATGAAAATCATTTTTAAATACCTAGAATCCAGTTTGGTTTCCTAACTCATTTTTGCTTTTGTTGAATCATTCATACTCTTGTGATAACAATATTAGGAAGAACAGGGAATAAAAGGAAAATTATTTAGTTCTTATTTGATTTTCAAAATATACTTGTTAGTCTCAGTACTATGTAATATCTTGACTTCTGAGTGGCTTGTTTTTTCTTTAAACAATGAAGGTCATCCAATCTTGAAGACTGAAAGAGAAGTGTAACAATTAATTTTCTCTGCATGTTATTACCAGGCTTATCCTGTACTATAACTTCTTTATAAATGTTTATATGAAATATGGTATGAAAAATTTGAGACATTCTTGTTTTAATATATCTTATTAAATACAGTTTTTATATTTTCTTAACTTAGAACTCTGTTTTTAAATAGTGTATTGAAATGTATAGATTTTAAAGGTGTTTTCTATTTGCTGAGTGTAAGAAGTATACTTGTTACAGATTTTAATGTTTATTTAAATAATTATGCTGATAGAAATTTTATTTGATAATGACCTAACACGAATAAATGTGTGTCTATTTTTAATAATGGTTATGTTCTTTACTAAGTTTATTTACATTTTCTATTTAATAACAGTTATATTCCTGTTTTATTTAAATCTAAATGGTATGGACTTTGCTTGTATGCAATCCTTTTTATATTATTATTACTTAATTTACCCCAAACTCTGCTACATTTTGATTGATTTTTATTTTCTATCATCCTTTGCAGTTCAGTTTCACATTGCCCACTTATATGAAACCCAGGTAAGTGTGTTAGATTACCATAATCAAAACAAAAACAAAAATCATGATTTATATCATGCTTTAAGTGAATTCAGAGTATGTACATATAATTTAATGGACTTCTGCTCATTATCTCTTAGTGTACTTTGTTTTATCCTCATTAAATACATTCAAGATCTTGCTTTTTTAAGGAGTCATTACTAGAGAAATGAAAGGATTCGAGGTTCATATTCAATATAGGTATAGTCATCTTTTAAAATCTTGATATTTGTCTTTGTGCTTTAATTTAAATTTCCCAAACAGAGTTCTTTTTATGTACAAAATCAATTAATATGATTTCCTGTTAAACTTAAGTTATCTTAAAGCTAAAATGGCTATTTTAAGATTTCTCTTATCCTTGATTTCTTTTCAGATATTTGTCGGTAGTTATTATTATGCATTATTTTAAGATGGCTTCTTTTGAAATATCTCTTCTGCTGTCACTGTACGAAAGGCATATTAGAGTCACCTTTTGATGCCCCATTACCACTACTTTTCACAGCTGCCATGTTTTAAAAACCTTTTCAGTTTAATTTTAGAGTATTTTATTTTTGTATATGGTAGATTTTGCTTACTTGTGTGATAAAAGATATAGCACATAGAAATTGACTTTTGGAAAATCAAGTTCATTTGTAATTGGTATGAGAATAAAATATACATAATCCTTGTTTTAACCAAAAATGAGTAGTTGAACTTTAAGGATTGCATTTTTATTTTAAGACACAAAATCAATTTAATAACAACTTTTCAGGAAAAATTATATGTGTACATAAGTTTAAAATCTGTTTTGCTGTTTTGGCCCAAATATTATAATTGGGCAAGTAGATCCCATGCACGGTCATATCAAAGAGATGCAAGCTCTTAGTGTACATATCATTATTTATACTGGGATGTAGTCTGATGGTTTGAGATCATTTATACTATTAATTCCCAGACCTAGTTATGTAGCAAAATGGAGTGAGAAACTTGACAAATCAGCCACCATGGGGAGCTTTGAAATATTAGATTTAAATTCCTGGACACCCATCCACCTATATACATACATCCCCTGAACCCACTGAATCAGAATTGATGCACGCTCAGGTTTGGATCCCCTAAATAATCTAGGGATTTTATCTACTTTGAGAATATGCATTTGAGAATTATGCACATGTCTTGTTTCAGAGTCTTTACCTGTCAGTGCTAATCCTCCTGCCTATACCAAAAATCATTTTAGGCTCCAGGGTAGAAGCAGCTACAGAAATTAGCTTCTTCTTCAGTGTAATTTTCACCCTGAAGTCTTAGCTCCTCCTGTTTTCATTACCTTAGGAGCTTTCTTATGCCTTCGAAAGATGATTTCTGAAAACTTTCCAGCTTTTCTTGTTCTAAAGACAGACTGGTAGCTGAAACAGAAGTTTTCTCACCTTTATTTTTAATGAGTGTTTTTGCTGGATATGGAATTCTATTTGATAGTTCCTGTGGTTTTTTTTGTTGTTGTTGTTGTGTTTAATTTTAATTTCATTGTCTTCTAGAAGTTGGCCTATTGGTTATATTAAGTGAAGATAATATGGGGACAAGAGTCCTTCTCCCATTGATTCTTTCATTTGACAAATTTTAATACCCATTTACATAAAATAAAATGAACAAAATTCTGGCAGAGTATATAAGTATTAGATGACAGGAAAGTTATCTATAAGGATATTACAGGATTGAAAATCTACTTAAATGCTCATAAAAGAACTTTCATTTTCAGAAGAAAAGCAAAAAGATCTGCTTACCCACCTGTAGAAAGTTGCTTTTTATTTTTGAACTAATTCATACTAACAACAACCTTATTTTTATATAAGTATTTTAAAAATTAAATTTAAATAGTTCTATGGGGTTTGTGGCTACCACTAGGTAACCAAATAGTTTAAGGGAACATTCTTTCTATAAGAAGAAATATTTCCACTAATGTTTGAAGAAAGAATTTAATAACATTTTGCAACCCTTGATAAAGTATTGGATCTAGGTAATGATTATCAATGTTTGCATATATCACAACAGACAGAAAATCAAATATTGGTAGCTCCTAAGGAAAGACACAACACCACCTATAAAGTATTATAACAAAAAATCAACTTGAATTGCATCAGACCTCGTTTTCTAAGTGTTAGTAAAAGTAGACAGAGCAATATGCTACACAACCACATAGGGATAAACCCCAAAGCCAAACTAAACCTACTGCCATCAAGTTGATTCTTGATTCATAACTACCCTGTAGAATAGAGTAGAACTGCTCTACAGGGTTTCCAAGGCTGTAAATCTTTTAAGGAAGCAGACTTCCTCATCTTTCTCCCATTGAGCCTCTGGTGGGTTGAAAATACTGACCTTTTGATTTGCAGTCCAGTGTTTTTACCACTGTGCTACTAGAGCATGGCAAAATCTGGATTGGAAGTACTCTGTAAGATAAAGAATCCATTTATTCAACAAGTAAATTTTAATAGAGAAAAGAAGAGGATGGTGGTAGAGGGAATCCTATAGATTAAAAGAGGCTTACAAGTTATAACAAGCAAATTTAATTTTTGCATCTTATTTGGATACTAAGTCAAATGAACTGTAAAAATACACATAAGACACAATTGTGATATTTCAATATTGACTAGAGGTTTAATATCAAGTAATTATTACCACATTTTTTTTAGGTATGATAATGGTAATGTTATTATGTTTTTAAATGTGCTGTGTTTTTGAACTACCACTTCTCTGTCAGTTTGTCATAATGTGGTGGCTTCGGTGTTGCTATGAGGCTGGAGGCTATGCCACCAGTATTTTGAGTACCAGCAGGGTCCTACATGGTGGACAGATTTCAGTGGAGCTTGCAAACTAAGATAGGCTATGGAAAAGGACACAGCAACTGGAAATTGGCCACTGAAAACTTTATGAATAGCAGGGAAACATTATCTGATTCAGTGCCAGATGAGCCCTGCAGATTAGAAGGCACCTAAATAGGAATGGGGAAGAGCTGCCTTCTCATTGAGTAAAGTTTTTGGGACCTTCATTTGCTGATGTGGCATGACTCAAAATGGAAAGAAACATCCACAAACATCCATTAATTATCAGAATGTATAAGGTATGAAGTACAAATAGGAAGTTGTCAAAATAAAATGGAAGGCATAAAGATTGATAATGCTAGACATTACTAAGCTGAAATGAACTGTTACTGGCTGTTTTGAATCAGACAATCATATCTTCTGCTCTGCCAGGAATGACAAATTGAACAGGAATTATGTCACATTCATCATGAAAAAGAACATTTGAACATCTCTACTGAAATACATTGTTGTCAATGATAGGATAATATCCATACACATCATAAGGGAGACCAGTTAATATGAGTAGTACAAACGTCCGTACCAACTACTAAATCCAAGGATGAAGAAATTGAAGTATTTTCTTTTTTTAGCCAACTTCTACAGTCTGAAATTGACCAAACATGCAGTCAAGATGCATTGATAATTAATTGTGATTGGAATGTGAAAACTGGAAACAAAGGAGCATCACTAGTTGGAAAATATGGCCATGATGATAGAAATGACAGTGGAAATCACATAATAGAATTTTGCAAGACCAATGACTTATTTGTAACAAATACCAACAATGTAAAGGGCAACTTAAACACATGGACTTTGCTAGGTGGAATACACAAGAATCAAATAGACATCTGTGGAAAGAGACATTGGAGAAGCTCAGTAACATCATTCGGACAAGGCAGGGGCCAACTGTGGAACAGACCATCAGTTGCTTATATGCAAGTTTAAGTTAAAGCTGAAGAAAATTAAGTCTACAGGAGCCAAAATACAGCCTTGAGTATGTTGTGTTGTTGTTAGTTGCCACTTAAATTAGAGATCATCTGAAGTATAGATTTGATGTGTTGGATACCAGTGACTGAAAACCAGACAGTTTGTGGGTTAAAATAAAAAATATCACACATGAAGAAAATAAAAGGTCATTAAAAAGACAGCAAAGGAAGAAAAGAACAAAATGGATGTCAGAAGAGACTCTGAAACTTGCTCTTAAAGAGAATGTAGCTAACATAACCCAGAAACCACAGCAACGGACATATCCAAAGTAAAATGAGCTTACAAGATTGTAAATAGGGAACCAGAGATAGCAATTGGCAAGTGAAGACAACTACAAACAAAAAGAGGGAAAAGACTGTGCAGTCAACAGAAAGTTGAAAGATAGAATGGACTGTTCTAAACTCGGGGATAAA